AAGGAGCATGCCTGTTGTATTCACTGCTGTGTATGCAGCATTTTGTAGGAACCCAGAAAGTGCTGAATAAAATGCGTGCATATGACAAAGTGAATGAACACAGCAAAGGCAGGTGCGTGAGGCGCTGCGGACTCATCGCAGGGCCTTTGAATCTGTATTCGTATCAAGGGATGTTGTAGATTAAAACACGTGACTGGACACTCATTTGTAGCTTTGTATAAATTTCACCATGAGAAAGAGTCCCTCATGGAGAACGAAACTGAGAATCCTCAACTTGGATCATAAATAAACGCATTTACGAATCTACATTCTTCGAGCTGTCAGAGGAGCAAGATCCTTAGTATTAGAAAATAGGCTTCCTACTTCGTCTGCACATTGTGAAACACGGTGCCTGAGTCATCATTCAGTGAATTTCAAAGTGTTTATTAAGCGAATATGTATTCTCACAGGGAAATAACGCATACCTTTCATCACGAATGCTACTTTCCGCTCTAAATAAGCCTTAACGATGCTTAACTTTGATCTGCTGTTGTCTCTTCTAATGTCTTTGTGATTACAACTTCATATTTTAGAAAGAGAAGCCCTTAGTGGATAATTAGCAGCAATCACGAAAAGCTTAAACATGCCATAAAGGTAAAGATTCTGTCAAGAATAATTTTCTTTGTCGGTAATTTATGTGGTGAGAGGGGCTGAAGGCATATATCCAGCAGCAGGAAAGTTCGAAGAACCATTTCATGAGAACATTGCTCTCAAGCCAACCTTTCTGGACCAGCCACCCACACCGGATGAGAGGAGTGTTTCTGAAAAGGATGGTTTGTACATTTTGTGTAGGAGTCCGCCACTGAAGCCTGATTATGCTAACAGCTAATTAAGTTCTAAACATCTCAACTGCATCTATCTTTATAGTCAGGCCTTTTTTTTTTTTTTTCCTCCTTTTACCCAAATAGTCATAGTCGATGAGACAATACCAACAGTAAGTTCACAGGGATAAATACTGTGATCATTTCAGTAGGACTTTAAGAAATACTACTCTCATCTTTGGTGAATTCGGCAAAATCACGGAGACTCACACGGCAGAGCCAATCAACACCTCGGTTCTCAACGGTACAGACTTTGTGATCTATATAGAAATTTAGAGGCATTACAAGAATGATCCAGGGAATTGAGACCAATTAGAGCGTGCGCCTAGTCCCTGAAGTGGCAAACCTTAGAAGCTCCTTAAATATGAGATGAAGGCACAATATACTTAAGGGGAAGAAATTGAATAAAGAGACAACAGCGTTGACACAGATAGACATTTCAACTTGTTAGTTCAACTAAAAAGCTCTGCCTTGGGAATAATTCACAGTTTACCTCCGAGAGAGAGGACACCTGGTTAAAATGATACTTTCAACCTCAGAAATCTTCAGATATTATTGATTTTTTCCCATTTTTCAAATAATATTAAGGAACATGGGTTATGCATTCATTTGGATTTAATATTAATTGAACTAGAAAACTTTAACCTCTCCTAGTGAACTTATATTCAAGTATAATAACTCATTTATAGTCTATCAAATTTATGGTTCAAGTAATATTTTGAGCCACTTAGATGCAACTAGTCATTTGCTGTTCCTCTTTGTTCTTCAATCATAATTGAACATTCTTTTAGCCAAATGTTGCTATTATTTATTTATTTATTTTTAACATTTATTTATTCTTGAGAGAGACACGGAGCAAGACCATGAGCAGGGGAAGGGCAGAGCGAGAGAGGGAGACACAGAATCCCAAGCAGGCTCCAGACTCTGAGCTGTCAGCACGGAGCCCAACGCGGGGCTGAAGCTCACGGACTGTGAGATCATCACCCGAGCCGAAGTTGGACGTTTGACCAACTGAGCCACCCAGGTGCCCCTAAATGTTGCTATTTTTATCAAAATGGTATTTACGGATATTTTCCAGGCTAGGTGAAATTTCATGACATTCTACCGAAGTGAGAGCGGTTTGTCCACATACGAGTAAAGAGTTCCTGGCCAGGTAAAGTTAGTTTTATGTAATCAATATGCAATAATTATCTATAAATCAAGCCATTTATCAAAAGCTCTAGGATACACTTGCAGTGATTAATTCCACCAACAGTAACATTCCCTTTACAGCCCTTTATCATTCACAAAGCACTTTTACATACTCCTATCAATTAACTCACAGAAACACCATTTTTAAAGTAAGATGAGGCCATCAAGAGGCAGTGTAACTGGACTAAGACCAGGTGGTTGGAAACGATAAAGGGGGGAAGCAAAGCCCGAGGCTGTGGCCCCACGTTCAGGGTACTCTTCACACAGAATCTGTTCCAGTGAGAAGTATGGTCACCCTTCCTGGCCTGTAATTGTCAGATCTGAACGTTGCTGTATTTGTTTTCCCTGTTGTCTTTGGTTGAAGCACGTGTGAATGACCTCACAGATGCACAGAGTTCATGAGATGCAAGCACAGTCATCTTTATAGAGCCAGGAGGATGCTGGGAAGGATACAGCTAAGTCAAGGCGCCTTCCCATCACTGACCCATTTCAAGCCTGTGACCAGACTCAACTTTGGGTCAACAGGACTTACACAAAAACTTTCATTAAAGAATCTAACATCTAGCAGGAAACAGAAATAGACCACAGAATGCTTTAGTTTAAAAGAGGTATGGGGCGCCTAGGTGGCTCAGTCGGTTAAACGTCCAGCTTCAGCTCTGGTTATGATCTCGTGGTTTGTGAGTTCGAGCCCTGTGTTGGGCTCTGTGCTGACAGCTCAGAGCCTGGAGCCTACTTCGGATTCTGTGTCTCCCTCTCTCTCTGCCCTCCCCCACTTGCACTCTGCCCCCCCTCTCAAAAATAAATAAACATTAAAAAAATAAAATAAAAGAGGTCTGACTTTTTCTAGTAACTGCAACAATACATACACAGTTGCTCACGTAGATTTTAGATAAATTTTCAAGATTACCAGCCATTATATATATACAAAAGGTGTATTATACGACACATATTTATATGGAATGACCCATGGTAATCTTAATCGACTATATATACTCAAGAAAAAAATGCTAACATAAATTATAAAGATGAATTTTTATATAGCAAATGTTCCTCTAAGGATAAAGTCCAATAATAACAAGGGACTTTTATAACTTTTAAAACTGATAGGGTAGTTTATTTTATTTTATTTTTTTTTTAATTTTTTTTTTTCAACGTTTTTATTTATTTTTGGGACAGAGAGAGACAGAGCATGAACGGGGGAGGGGCAGAGAGAGAGGGAGACACAGAATCGGAAACAGGCTCATCAGCCCAGAGCCCGACGCGGGGCTCGAACTCACGGACCGCGAGATCGTGACCTGGCTGAAGTCGGGCGCCCAAACGACTGCGCCACCCAGGCGCCCCCTGATAGGGTAGTTTAAATGGCCCCCTCTGCCATCTCAGTAGGATTAGTGCTAATACCAGAAGCTAAACTTAGCATTAATATGTATTTTGACCGAGTGCAGGAAAAAACCCCAGAAAATTAATATCTACCACCCACAGTACAGGCAATCCGATGACTGTGTGCAGTTTGGCGTTAAAACTGCCTAGTGCGATTCCTGAGCAAATCTTGGCAAAGGCACGGCTGCCATTTGACCTCCGGATGTGTGTGTCTGTGTCCCTCCAAAGAGCGGAGGAAACAGAAGCAACCATACGGGGAAGAAATTGTGAATATATTGACAGCTTTGAAGATAAAAGAATTATCAGTCAAAATGAATTACAGTACTTATTTTTTTTTTTGTTCTAGACCAAAGTTTTAATCTTCCTAGATTCTCAAGGCAAAAGCAATTAATTTTTTTTTTTTTTTTGGCTTTTGAGGTTACTACAAAACCAACCAAATTCTGCCCCTGAACTATCTTTTTACTGATAAATTTTTGTCAGTTTAATCCTTCAGGTGTCCTGTGTGATATCACTACTAAATTGCTTTCACTTGAATTAGTTTGGGGGGGGGGGGCAGAAGAGGGGAGACTTATAAAGATTGCCATTTTGTAAAAGAAACCTAGATTTGTTTGTCAGAAAAAGCCAATCTCAAATAATTTCAATTCTTTGTCAAACAAGTTAAGGGTTTTTTTAATTTTCATTTTCATTTTTAAAAATTTGCATCCAAATCAGTTAGCATCTAGTGCAACAATTTCAGGAGTAGATCCCTTAGTGCCCCTGCTGACCCATTTAGCCCATCCCCCCCCCCCCACAACCCCTCCAGCAACCCCCAGTTTGTTCTCCATATTTATGAGTCTCTTCTGTTTTGTCCCCCTCCCTGCTTTTATACTATTTTTGTTTCCCTTCCCTTATGTTCATCTGTTTTGTCTCTCAAAGTCCTCAGAGGAGTGAAGTCATAGGATTTTTGTCTTTCTCTGACTGACTCATTTCACTTAGCATAATACCCTCCAGTTCCATCCAGGTAGCTGCAAATGGCAAGATCTCACTCAACAAAGTTAAAGGTTTAAAGTAGATACAATTGTATTTATGTTAGTAGATACAAAAAGGATAATTAATGGGATATGTACTATCTCCTATCATTCTGGTAACTTAGTGCCTCGGCAGTTCAAGAGGAAGCAACAGAGCAACAGGGTATTTGCAACGGGAAATACTTCAGCTTTGTTATTTCCCCTATAGTTTCACAAACAACTATTGCACACTGTGGCCGCCATTCATCCATCAAGTATTTTCAATGGGAGAAATAATGTTTGCATTCAATTATTTGCAGGGGGTTTTAAACTTACCATTTTTCCCTTGTGGAGATGATCTTGCTCCCCAAATTAAGATTTCATGTTTAAGAAGAGACTTACAGAGGAAGCATCCTATGTAGTAACTACCTTGAAATTTGCTAGTTCCCCCCTCTGAAGCAAGTGATTTCTTCTGTCAGAGTGCTGGGATTTGTTACGTCCAACAAAATAGTTAATCTTCTATTTATTCAAAATCAACTTTGAAAAATCAAGACTAAAGTCAAAGGAATAAAAAAATATCACTTACTTTGCTTTAGCTTCTGCGTCCTCATAGGCTTTATTAGACACGTCATCCAGTCCTCCAATCAAATGCTTGAAAGAGCTATAAGGAAAAACACAGTCATCAGGATAAATGCTCTGCAGAGTCCTAACAATGGCTACCTCATCAATGATACATTGAAACAATCTAAAAGGCTCTGAATAAAAATGAAGTCAAACATTTAAACCAGATACGTCATTAAGAAACATATCAGATAATGATACTGTCTCTGACAACGGTGACCTATTCCATCGTGTTTACCTCCGTGGTTCCCAACACCTAGAACTGGACCTGGTGAAAGGAGATATTCAAAGAACGGCTGGAATAAAGTCTGTGACACACAAAAGGACATATGTCAACAAAGTGGGTCAACTTTACTAGGGATCGTGACAAGATCTACCAATTATGGAACGCCTACTGAAGGCACTCTTCTTTTAATTATCATGAACATATATTGATTCCAGGTCTACAACACACTGTAAAAGACAAACATTATTATCTCCACGTGCCAAAAGTGTAAACTAATCTTCAAAGGCAAAATACATATGCAGAAGACAGGCACACGACAGAGGAGAATGATAGGAGAGTCAACTCGTTTTGGACGGATGAAGATACTGACTTTAGGATCAACCAGGAAGGGTGATACACCTGTGCAAACCCAATCTATCCCATAGCCTACATGGACCTAGAACTGTGTACAGACTTTATATAATGAAGTCTCATCTATCATAGGTCTACAACATAAACTATTACTGGGCCGGCACAAAAGGAAGACACACACACACACACATACACACACACAAGAATTACCCTTGAAAATTACTGAATGCAACCAGATACCAGAACTCTTATGTGCACTACATTCTGGCAAGCAGTGAACTGAACAGAGGAACAAAAGGAAAATCTACATTCAAAGTGCTCACATAACAATCAAGGCCCTCACTTACATGGTGCTTATATGCTGGCTACCACTGAATGCATTTTACATGTAGTAACACACAGTTTAATCGTTACAGCAACCCTGTGAGTCAGAATTAGCTCCACTGCATAGATGAGCATCCAAAGGCATGAGAGGTTATGAAACTGACCTGAAATCGTACAGCCCAGCAGCGTGAAGGCTGGTAGGGAAGGAGGCCACCATTCCCCCTCATACCCTCAAGACCTACACTGCGGCTTCCGGCCAAATCACTGTGCCTTCACGACAACCATAAAAGCCCCAGCGACGTCTAGCCTACGCATGGAGAATGGCAAAGAGCTGTAAGGAATTACATTTTAATTTTAAACCTCTAGAATCTCAATGCACAGAAAAAGCTTCGTGTGAGTATCAAATAATAAAATATGCCTGGTCAGGTCCTGAAACATAGGGTATTTGTTGATTTAAAGTTAAACATTGCTTAACCACTTTGACACACACTGGTTTTTGTTTTTGTTTTTATGAAAAATGTGTAAAGAGAGACTTGACTCTTCCTTGGAGGCTGGCCAAAAGGAGACAGGGCGGGTACGACATCAGTTCTGTGGGTAATGATCTCATCTGGGGGGCAGGGTAAGTGGAATGCTGAGCTAAAACATGAAGTATTTCTAATACAAAAAGGGACCAAAAGGAAGAGACAGAAGACTAAGGAATCAAGAACCACAGAGCATCACGTTTTCTGAGGTGAACTGTATTAATGAATGTCGAATGAATGGAGGCTGCCAAAGGCGATGGTCCTTATACAACTTTCCAAAGACATATAATTAGTGATAAAATAAATGATAAATAATAATCCCTTGCGGGGCTGGTTCAATATCTGCAAAACAATTAATGTGACTCATCACATCAATAAAAGAAAGGACAAGAACCATAGAATCCTCTCGAAAGATGCAGAGAAAGCATGTGACAAAATATAGCATCCTTTCTTGATAAAACCCTCAAGAAAATAGGGATAGAAGGAGCATACCTTGAGATAATAAAAGCCATGTATGAACGACCCAATGCTAATATCATCCTCAATGGGGAAAACCTGAGAGCTTTTCCCCTAAGGTCAGGAACGAGACAGGGAATATTCACTCTCACCGCTGTTATTCAACATAGTATTGGAAGTCTTAGGTTCTGCAATCAGACAACACAAAGAAATAAAAGGCATCCAAATTGTCCAGGAGGAGGTCAAACTTTCACTTTTGCAGATGACATGATACTCTATATGGAAAACCCAAAAGATTCCACCAAAAACTGCTAGAATTGATCCATGAATTCAGCAAAGTTGCAGGATATAAAATCAACGCACAGAAATCGGTTGCATTCCTATGCACCAACAATGAAGTGACAGAAAGAGAAATCAAGGAATCAATCCCATTTACAGTTGCACACACACAAAAAAAACCCATAAAATAACTAGGAATATATCTAACCAAAGAGGTGAAAAATCTATACACTGAAAACTATAGAAAGCTTATGAAAGAAATTGAAAAAGACACACTAAAAATGGAAAAAGATTCCATGCTCCTGGATAGGAAGAACAAATATTGCTAAAATGTTGATACTACCAAAAAAAATCTGCATATTCAATGCAATCCCTATCAAAATAACACCAACATTCTTCACAGAGCTAGAAGAAACAATCCTCAAATTTGTATGGAACCAGAAAAGACCTCAAATAGCCAAAGCGATCTTGAAAAAGAAAACCAAAGCAGGAGGCATCACAATCCCAGACTTCAAGCTATACTACAAAGCTGTCATCATCAAGACAGTATGGTACTGGCACAAGAACAGACACTCAGATCAATGGAACAGAATAGAGAACCTAGAAATGGACGCACAAACGTATGGTCAACTAATCTTTGACAAAGCAGGAAAGAATATCCCAGGGAATAAAGACAGTCTTTTCAGCAAGTGGTGCTGGGAAAACTGGACAGCGTCATGCAGAAGAATGAATCTGGACTGCTTTCTTACACCATACACAAAAATAAACTCACAATGGATGAAAGACCTCAACGTAAGACAGGAAGCCATCAAAATCCTCGAGGAGAAAGCAGGCAAAAACCTCTTTGATCTTGCCCGCAGCAATTTCTTACTCAACACGTCTCTGGAGGCAAGGGAAACAAAAGCAAAAATGAACTACTGGGACCTCATCAAAATAAAAAGCTTCTGCACAGAGAAGGAAACAATCAGCAAAACTAAAAGGCAACTGACCAAATGGGAGAAGATATTTGCAAATGACAGATCAGATAAAGGGTTAGTATCCAAAATCTACAAAGAACTTATCAAACTCAACACCCAAAAAACAAATAATCCAGTGAAGAAATGGGCCAAAGACATGAATAGACACTTCTCCAAAGAAGATATCCAGATGGCCAATCGACACATGAAAAAATGCTCAACATCACTCACCATCCGGGAAATACACATCAAAACCACAATTAGATACCACCTCACACTTGTCAGAATGGCTCACATTAACAACTCAGGCAACAACAGATGTTGGTGAGGATGCGGAGAAAGAGGATCTATTTTGCATTGTTGGTGGCAATGCAAGCTGGTGCAGCCACTCTGGAAACCAGTATGGAGGTTTCTCAAAAAAGTAAAAATAGAACTACCCTGTGACCCAGCAATTGCACTACTAGGCATTTATCCATGGGATACAGGTGTGCTGTTTCGAAGGGACACATGCACCCCCATGTTTATAGCAGCACTATCAACAATAGCCAAAGTATGGAAAGAGCCCAAATGTCCATCGATGGATGAATGGACAAAGAAGACGTGGCATATATATAGGTGTGTGTGTACATATATATATATATATAGATATATATATATAGATATATGTATATATATACACACACACACACACAATGGAATATTACTTGGCATCAAAAACAATGAAATCTTGCCATTTGCAACTACATGGATGGAACTGGAGGGTATTATGCTAAGTGAAATGAGTCAGTCACAGAAAGACAAAAATCCTATGACTTCACTCCTATGAGGACTTTAAGAGACAAAACAGATGAACGTAAGGGAAGGGAAACAAAAATACTATAAAAACAGGGAGGGGGACAAAACAGAAGAGACTCATAAATATGGACAAAAAACGGAGGGTTACTGGAGGGGTTGTGAGAGGGGGGATGGGCTAAATGGGTCAGGGGCACTAAGGGATCTACTCCTGAAATCATTGTTGCACTAGATGCTAACTAATTGGCTGTAAAATAAAAATAAATAAATAATAATAATAATCGCCATAGTGGAGATCAGTGTTCAAATACGATTTCTGCCATTGTTCTTTAAATGGTAGAGTTTCCCCTTCACATAGAACGTCTCAGTCATTGCCAAGGGAAACTCCCTATGCGAGATGGGTTTAAGATTGTAAAGTAAAGGGGTGCCTGGGTGGCTTAGTCAATTGACTGTCCAACTTCCGATCGGGTCATGACCTCATGGTTTATGGGTTCGAGCCTGGTGTCAGGCTCTGGGCTGACAGCTCGGAGCCTGGAGCCTGGTTTGGATTCTGCGTCTCCTTTTCTCTCTGCCCCTCCCCCACTTGCACTCTGCCTCTCTGTGCCTCTCAAAAATGAATAACCGTTTAAAAAATTAAAAAAAAAATTGTAATGTTAAAGACAGTATTTATTTTATTGTGAAAAAAAATCAATAACATCTGGTTGATTTTCTGTTTTTAGAGATAATGTAAGATTTAAGCACAGAGAGTTAAAAGTTTCTTATTCAAGATGACTCCAATTCTGCAGCACATCTGGGACTAAAATCTGCATTCCCTCATTCCCGCTCCTTCCTCTACAATATGTAGATATTTTTAATATAACTAAATCCAAAACATTGTGAAAAGGCACTGACAGAGAGGAGACAAAGAGCACGCTGTGGTTAAAACCGAAGAGGAACAGCCAGTATGGGAGCTTTTCAGATACACTCAGACTGTGTTCTTACATGTTTGACATGCAGAGTAATTTGGGGAGTTCAAATAGTTAAAAAAAATTCTTCCTCCTATTTATTTGACCTAAATATATTTTATGCAGGATAGGATATGATCAAAGATTTAGAGGGTGAATGGATGGCAATTATGGTAAGGATGAAGGCCTTT